CTCAGGGAATAAAAGGGGGCGTGTTAGCTCTGAATCCTCGTTCGGGACAACTTGGACTCTCACCTCGTGGTCACAGGTGAGACAGAACACTGGAGTATGCGAGAGAGGCATCTGCTAGGAAGTTCTCCCCGCCCCTGGAAAGTAGTGAAGGGTTAAAATGCTGAGCCCATCGGACCTGCTCAGGGGACAGCTTCCTCGGGGCCTTCAACGCCTCCAGGTTCTTGTGGTCTGTCTACACTTCAACTGGAATCTTACTGCTCTCTAAGAACTGCCTCTGGGTAAGAAGAGTCCATTGGACCACATAAGCCTCCTTCTCCCAGATGGCCCACCACCTCCCAGACAACTTGCGAGATGTGTAGGCACATGGTTGCAACTTTCTCTTTTCATTCCTCTGGAGTAAAACTGCTGCTACTGCCACATTGCTGGCAGCCGTGGTAGCGCAGTGGTTAGAGTGCTACTTCTGCTGACTGCTGATTGCCAGCAGTTCAGCAATTCAAATCCCACCAGCTCAAGGTTGACTCAGCCTTCCATCCTTCCGAGGTGGGTAAAATGAGGACCCAGATTGTTGGGGGCAAGAGGCGGACTCTGTAAACTGCTTAGAGAGGGCTGTAAAGCACTGTGAAGCGGTATATAAGTCTAGGTACTATGGCTATTGCTATCTGCCTGGATCACGAAAGGCTCATCTGGGTTTGGGTGCTTCAAGACTGGTTCAGCAGCAAACAGCCGCTTCAGTTTTTCCAAGACTGCCTGGCATTTGATGGAGCAATTTAATGGCTGCAACACCTCAGGGCTGCAAGAGAAGACTTTTGGTCACCAAGGGAGTAAAGGAGGCCTGGTGTCAAATGTCCAGTTGGCATTCCCAGAAAAAGAAACTCCATTATTTTTCCACGAATATAAACATTGAACAAATGTATATTGGCACAGAAGCAGCGAAACCTGTGCAAATGCATGCATAGTTCATTTCCCCTTTCCCCACGGGCCACACACAGTCCATTATGCTGACCAATCATTTCTGTTGATTTTATTTGGGGAACCAGATGATTGCGCTGTGGCATCCGCTCCAGTGGTGGGATTCAAAAAAATTTGCTACCAGTTTGGAAGGCGTGGCGTGGCTTATTGGGCATGGCTTGGTGGGCATGGCAGGAGAAGAATACTGCAAAATCTCCATTCCCTCCCCACCCCACTAACCTGCTTTCCAGCTCCGTTCTCCTGTGCAGGGCAGCCAAAGGAGACCCAGCCGATCAGCTGGGACTCAGAAGGCAGAGAATAGATGGGGTTGGTGGGGCCAGTCAGAGGTGGGATTGGCCGGTTCTCTGAACAACTCAAAATTTCCGCTACTGGTTCTCCAGAACTGGTCAGAGCTGGCTGAATCCCCCCTCTGGTCTGGGTGTCCTTGGGGGCAAGCAATGTCTCATGCTTGAAGGCCATTCCCTCCATCATTGCATTCCAACCCACCATCACCCTCGTTCTTTGTCAAGCTACAAGCAAAGTGGAATATAGGTGAACGTTCGAGTCAGTCTTGACCCTGAGGATGGAGCTTCCTGTGGGAGCTCTGGCATGGGCCTGAACTCAGCCCCATGGCCACCTTGAAAGAGCTGCTGTGCACTGAGTTGTTGTATGCCCCTTGGATGAAAGGTAGGAGCTTGGCCCAAATAGTCTGCTGATAATTTATATAATAGCGCAGGTATTGCTCTACTAGTGACTTGCTACACTCAGCCACCCCATTGGTACTCAGATCATAGGTGGAGCTAAGTTCCTGGGAGACAATTTAAAAAAATTCCTGCCAAAGTTTTGCAGTGAATTTACATCCCCATATCTGAGATAATGTGCTTTGGGACCCCATGTGGTCTGTAGATGTGTTGCCCAAACATCTTAGCTAGAACCAGGCAGAAGGAATCGTGGGACCCACCACAAAGTGTGCTTGCTTCAAAAACAGGCCAAGTGGGAGGAGGACTGGGGAGCACATCTTTCTCCCCTCTCAGGACTCCATTGTTGAGGGGTCTCCAACGCTGGCAACTTTAAGACGTGTGGATTTCCAGAATTCTGGGAGTTGAAGTCTTCAGTTGCCAACATTGGAGAGCCCTGCTATAGATGAAGCGAAAGAGGAGAGTCACATGTAGGCAAGGAATTCTACAGCAACAACTATCCACAGTGACTGGTTTAGCATGTCACAGAGCCCAGTGATTGGGGGGGGGGCTCTAAAGAACCAGGGGGGCAGATTGTGGCATTGCAAAGAAAAGCGCTTTCCAACCCACCACCTCCATCTTGCTTTCCTCCTCTCCCAGCAAATGCCGCTGTTTCTCACCGTCTGTTGCAATCTGTAAATTGTGCTTCGTGCTGGAACGTTGTGTGATCCCAGCCACTTGTGTAGTTGATGAAGATGAGAACCTGCCCAAGACCATGGATGGAAAGCACCCCCACCCCACCCCCGAGTCTCCTTCCGTTTGGACGTGTCCTTCAGTACCCAGGGCCTGTTGGGCTTCACTCTTGCCTGCTGCTGCTTCCGGTTTCTGATTTCCTGGAGCCTCTCCCCGTCAACAGTTCCCATTAAGATGGTTCCCCTGGAGCCCTTGCCTGGGAGGACGCAGGGAGTTTGTCCCAGAGGTGTTGGGGTCTGCCACAGGGTTGATCTCTGCTCCCCAAACGTAGGGCTGCATTGGCCCCTTCCTGGAGAAGAGGGGTGGCCATGGAGGGGCCCCTTCCTGATGTCGCTTCGGGGTCTGTGGGGGCATCCAAGTAGGAGCCCTCCTTCTGAAGGGGCTGCCCCCAACACGGATCCCCTTATCAGCCTCTCTGGCCAAGTTGGCCTTCTGGTCCACCCTTTCCTCCAACAGAAGACTGGAACCAACAGGCCTTGAAGCAGCTGTAATTTTTCATCTGGGTCTTCCGGGGATTCGAGCAGCAAACAACTTAGTCACCCAGAAATCCGGGGAGGTGAGTTGAGGGGAGGGGGGAGTTTGTCTTGTTGAGAGGAAAATGCAGCAATTAATCTGTCGGCACCCGACACCTTCCTCCCCTGCAATTAAATCAAAGGTTCCTAAAATGGACTCATCCCTCATCTCCCGGCAGCTCCCCCGAACCCTGCTGGGCCTGCAGTGACACCCAGCAGCCTGTGCTGCGACGCTGCCTCTATTGCTCCCACGTCATGCTGCAATGAGTGGAGCCAGCATCCAGCAGCACCAAGAGCAAGGCCCCTGTCCGTGAGCAGGAAGACTTGGAGTACGAGGGAGACCCCCCCTCCCCGGTCTTCCAACCGCAAGACAACCTGCGGAGCCAGCACCGAAGGCAAGGACCCCCGGGGGGCCAAACCTTCCAGGGCCCTTGGTGCAGGGGCGCTTTGGAGCATCGCAAGGGGCAGGTCTCGCCCAAAGCTCGGCCTTTGGTCTCCCTGGACCAGGCACTCTCCTGCTGCTGGGATGCCTTGGGAGGGGAGGGCATTTTCTGAGCAAGGATACTCGGAGGAGGCAGCAGGTGGAGAGGCTTCCTTGGGCCTCTTTGGAGGTGGGGTTGCACCGGTTCTGTCCACTTCTGTAGAACCGGTAGTTCTGAAGAGCAGCAGACAGAGAGCATGCATAGAACCGGTTCTATGTCTGCTGCTCTTTTGGCCCGCCCGCCCACCCGGGCTCTTACCTGCACTTTATTTCCTGCGTTTTTCAACTGCAGCTGCTTTGCGCGACACAGCTGCGATGGAAAAAGTAGGAAAAAAGGGCTTTTCCAACCGCTGCGCACTTGCACGCAGCGCTGCTCAGCTGTCCGGGCAGCTCAGCAGGTCGTAAATTGCACTCACGTGACACACACAGACGCGCGCGCGCGCATGCATGCAGAGCAACAGAACCAGTAGTTATACCGGTCGGATCCCATCCCTGGGCCTCTTCCTTGCATTTTGGGAGCCTGGCTCAGGCTGAGCTCTCTGGAGCAAGACCAGCCCAAAGGGGAGGCATCCAAGCCTCTCCAGGGAGGTCCATATCTCCCCCCTCCTGGCAGGTCCTTTTGGAGAAAACCAAACGATGCTGGGATCATTTCCAAGGGACTGAAAGTAAACAAGTCCTGTTATGTACACACACGCATTAAGGGCGCTTTCTGAGGGGAGCCGTGACACACTAGTCTGGGCCAAGGGCACCTTCAGCCTGAAAGCGGCTGCCAGCAACTGCTCCTTATAGGTCTGGTACCATAATACCGTCCTTAGAGCGCATGTCGTGAACCCGTGGAGCCCATTAACCCCAAATTAAACGAATAGCTTTGGAAAGTGGAACCAAGACACGGAAAAGCTACCGGTGGCTGCTTGCCATGATGGCTGTATCTCACTCCAGGAGTTGCTTCTGTTTATGGGCCACTGGAGGCTTCTGGCCGACTCTGCAGCCAGGTTGAACTGACTGGTGAATGGAGCTGTGAAGTCTTTTGAGCTTGGTGGTGGTCTTAAAGATGCTTCATTACCCAATTCAGCACTGATGATGTTACCTAGCTGGGTCATGAAATGTCTGCAAGAAAGCTACCAAGCTGGGAGAGCACCAAAGACCCTTCACTTCAACCCTGAGCTCCAAATATTCTCGCCTATTGGTACATGCAAGGAGCTCTGGACTCCACCGCTAGTCATAGATGGTGGGAGCTCTCCATGGTCCTGCAAAAAGCAGCCACTCAGTTGGAGCCTTACAGCGCCTGCTTGTGAGTCCAACTCTTCCCAAGAGTCCCGGAAGGTTGAAGTCAGGCTGCAGTTGAGAAGGTTCTTGATCTCAGACGCACCCCGGCACCCGGCTGGCTCCTAAGTCTAAAGTTGTTTTCTCCAAGGCAACTTTAGCGTCAACCAGGTCCTGACAATTATCCCCCTGTTGCATCACCCTCCCTGCTTTCCCCCAGTTACTGAAATGGACCCTGGTAGAAAGAGATGGGGATGACCCGGTCTGCGGCCTTGCAATAGATATATCTGAGCGTCAGGGGGCAAGGCAGGAGTTCTGCTTCATTTTGTGTTTTTCAACAAGACACAGTCATTTTTAAAAATATATATATTTTTACAGTGACACGGTAAATCCAGATTACAAAGGATGATAATAACATCAGTACGCCTGGTCCCAGGGAAAGTGTTTCAAACCACCTTCCAACCACTTCAAGCTGATTTTAACTGAACTAATCCATTTCAATTAGTTCCAGTTCCAAAGTTAATACAGGTAGAAACAGTTGTGCACGAGTTTTAAATTAAAGAGGGGAAAGATTAGAAGACTCTGCCTCCAAAACAATATTAAAGTCAGCCTACTGAGGGCAGCTGAACTTACACACTTTTCCTGTGCAAATCATACACTTAAAAAAACAAGAAGGGAAAAAGAACTGGAAAGCTGAATTTCTAACACACGGGCTCACACACTTTGGTAACACAATTCAAAAACAGGGATTAAAAACATTGGAGGATTGTCCCCTTGGAGGAGAGTCTGCAGACCCCACCCGGCCCCTCCCGATCAACGGCATTCACAGTCGGTCATGTGTTCAGTTAACGGGAGGAGTTCAGTGATTCTCCTGGCAAATGAGTTTCAAGTCTGATGAGGTGCAATTTACAGATTATGATGGCACAGTGCAATTCAGCAATCAAGAACTTCATTCTCAAATAAAATGCTTGACCTATGCAAAAAATCCATGGCAGAAAACAGCCACCGACAGCAAGATGATGGCGTTGATGTTGACCACGCGCCTCCACAATGGCACCTCTGTTGTGTCTGTCAACTTATGCTGCAGGGCCTCCTCCTCTTCCTTGCTCAGCTTGGGGCCCGTCTGTTCCAAGCCGCAGAACCAGTTGTAGGCTTTCTTGCAACAGTTGGTCTCTTTCTCTTGGGCTGCAAGGACAACACGGCCAATTGTTAGATGTAGCAGCCAAACTGACCCTTTCATGCCCAAAACATCCTCCTAAGGTGCCACCACCCTATTCTCATATATGTTGCTTATATGCCCTAATGTACTATAGAATTGAAAGGGTCCCTTTTTTCAAATCAACTGACCATTATTCATTCTGTTTCATATTGAAACAAATAACACTGCCAAAAAGAGACTGGAAAGAATCTCAAAGGACCACGAGGAGTTAGGCAAAAGAAGGCAAAAGAGTTTGGTGGGATTTTCATCCATGCCTCCAATTGAAGGACATGGCCTGAAGATGGAATGGAGGGATTGTGGAGTGAAACTGTTGGCTCAGGGATGGGGAACTTGAGAAAAGTTTGTATTCCTGGACCACAATCTGTGCCATCTATAGGTAGGGTTTCTGCAAGTAAGAGATGGGTTGAACCTCACAAAGACTGGCCAGGACATGTCTGGAAGACATCTTACTAAACTCAAGTCATGTGGCAGACTTTAAATTAAATCTGGAGTGGGAGGGAAATCAGAAGGCAGTCAAAGTTTCTGTCCAAAGGTAGACATCCTAGGTCAAGAGAGGAAGTGGTAAAAGAAAGGGGCACCCAAAATACACCAGAAGATGCAGGAGGCAAAGCTAAGAAGGCCAGTGCTGAGAGTCAGATGCTTCTTGTACATCAGTGCTTTGAGAATGGAGAACAAAAGGGGAGAACGTGAAGTCTTAGCGCGGGGAGGAAAGGTCATTTCATTGGTATCTCTAAAAGTTGGTGGAATGGATCACATGATTGGAATATAAAATTAGAAAGGTATAATTTGTTGACAAGAAAAAAGCCCAAGAAGGGGAGTGGGGGGAAAGGTGTCATATCATATGCAAAGAATTTCAACACAAGCAAAGAGATTCAGGACATCAAGTGTGAAAATCTGGCTGAAAGCATCTGAGTGAAAATCAAGGAAACAAGCAAAAACAAAACAAAAAAAGGACCCAGGTGTGGGCATGCTTTTCAGACCACCAACCAAGCAGGAGGTGTGACTGAAATCTTTGCAGATGGGACCCTTGAATGTCCAGGAAACCCATCATGGTGCCAAGAGGGGGTTCAACCACTTGAGCATCAACTAGGAATCAACCAAAGCAGCAAGTGGCAGATTCTGTAGCTGGGGTGTTAAACTCAATTTCATTGAGGGTTATGTTTTACCTTGGGGGGAGGGGCGTGGCCAGGGTGGACGTGGCCAGCTTGATGTCACTCGTGTCAGGGGCACCTGTGGCGGCCCAAGTGCTCTGCCAGCAAAAACGGGCTCCAAATCTCCATTTTGGGCTGGGACAGCCTCCTGCAGTCCTCTGGAGCTCCGTTTTTGCTGGCGGAGGGTTGCAGGAGGCCATCCCAGCCGAAAACGGAGATTTGGAGCCCATTTTCACTGACAGAGGCACTGCAGGCCGGTCCTTCGCTGTTTCCAGGGTGGCCTCGTGGGCCAGATCTAAGCGCCCCGTGGGCCAGACCCAGCCTGTGGGCCTTGAGCTTGACACCCTGTTCCATGGGTTCTGGTCTTGTACAGGACTTCATCATCCAAAGACTGGAGTAGAGAACCAGCCATGTTGGGCTTCATGCTTACTAACAAGGAAGAAATGCTTGAGTGGCAAGGAGAGAATGACAAGAGGGAATGATGACCATTGTCTTCCTAGAATTCACCCTACAGGGAAGCAGAGCCAAAAGTTCTCCAGTTACTATTCTACATTTCAGGAGATCTGACTTCAAAACTACCGAAGGGAAAAAGTCGGAAGGCTTCGAAAGGAATCGGGGGGGTTGGGAGATTCTCAGAAAGGAGATTATTAAGGCCCCAATGCAAATCATACTAAAGAAAAAAAAGGTTAAAAATGGGACGGTCCTGATGAAGCCGCCAAGGGTCACAAATGGCTCTCTATCAACAAGAAACAAAAAGGACACATTTGAAGAATGGAAAGCGGGGCATTTTACAAAATATCAGAGTAAGGGTATTTTCTTTTTCTTTTTACCATTGCTAAGAAAAGATGGGGAAATGATGACAAGCAATGGGGAGAAGCTGGAACTACTTAATTTTGCATCTCTTGTGGCCACAGGAAACCATGGCCCAGGGAAGCGGGGAGGGAGCAGGCAGGTCCAGCCAAAGTACAGAGGAAGGGCCAGGAGACGGGAGAAGAATTCAGGCTCCCAGCTTTAAAAAAAAGTGGAGGCAGAAAACAGCAAATCAAGCAGCTTGGCTGGAATATCTGGGGAAATTCTAGAAAAGATCTCGAGCAGCCAGTTTGCAGGCACTTAGGTAGGAACAGGAGGCCTTGAAGGGTTTATTAAAGCTAAGTCAGGCCTGGCAAATCTTAGAGCTTTTCTTTTCTTTTTTTACAGAGAGGCTAGATTTGTGGACCAGGGTGGATGTGAAGCGCCTAGACTTCAGTAAGGCTTCATCTGATGATGCCGACATAGCCTCTCTTTGATCAGATGGAACAAGATGAGAGGGATGGTCCACTATTGGACAGATTCAGTTGATTGGAAAACCATACGCAGCGTAGGGTCCTTAATGCTTCTACTGTATGCCCTTCATCCCACTGCTGAGTTTACTGTTAGGAAATGTCTTTCTATCCTTCCACGAGAATCTCTTTTCCTTTAACTTAAGATCATTCTTGCATGAACTCTTCTGAGAGGCCTCTTTTTGGCATTTGGAAAGGGCTACTATCTTCTCCAGACTAAATCTGCTGATCTTCTTTGGTCTCTTCATATCACTGACTTTCTAATCCCCTGATCTCTGCCCTTCTTTGATCCCTTCACCAGCACATCTTCATCTTTAGTGACCGGAACAGTGCACAATACTTGAGATAAGTCAGAGGACCAAGTCAGAGAACGAGGGACAGTTATAGCCATGATTTGAAGATGATGGACACAACCCAAGTTTGCATTTCCCTTACTTGCAACCATCATATCATTGTGATATTTCAAAGTCTTTCTCATAATGATCATTAATAATCCCAGGATGCTCTTTCTATATGAGTGCAATTGATTTTTATTTCCAGTGGAAATGAAAGTGGAAAGACCTAGATATACAAAATATGTTGGTTTTCCATCTGACCTCATTTCCTCCAAAGAGAGCTTCTGGCAACTACCTGAAGATGCTGAGAATTCATCTCTTAATAGCTCCAATTACAGAACTTCAACATTGATTACTATTATATTACATTATTGTATTTTAAAAGTAACTATCTGTGCGATTTGTCCCTTAAAATCGATTTTGACTCTTAGCAAACACCTGGACAAGTCCACACAGTTTTCTTAGCAAAATTTCAAGTGGTTTGTCATTGCCTCCTCCCTAGGGCTGACAGAAAGTGACTGGCCCAAGGTCACTCGCTGGTTTTGCACTCATGGCGGAACTAGAACTCAGAATCTCCCCCTTTCTAGTGTCAACCCTGAAGCTGATCTGGCTGGAGCCATCTTGGAGCTTCCGTGCTACCACACTGAGCTAAGGGAGGGGGGATTAGAGATAGGAGTCAAAACAAAATATTTTCTCTTGGGAACCAAGGACACCCTCACACCTGGTCGGAGGAAGGAGGAGTGATGTCACCAGATCAGCAGATGCTGCCTTGATTGGGCCATGTGACTGATTGTTTAGGGTTGAGGAAAAAACTTTTACTTTTAATTAGGTGAAAACTAAGGGCCCCTCAGAGTTGGTTTTCACCAGATATGTGCCAATATGATATTTCCAACAAGGCTTTTCTTTGAGGAATTTACCTGCCTCGGAGTTTTTGCTTGTAATGGATCTTTTACTTGGAACCCTGACATTTAGCCTAGTGCTTTAACCAGTACACAAAACTGGTTAAAAAATGTATCGTTATTACCATATAATAATATAATACTATAATATTATTTATAAGATTTCTATCCCATCTTTTCCCCCTGAATTCAAAGAAGCCCCCTCCTCATTTGCTGCTGCTACTTTATTCACAACAGGCTGAGGGGCAACAAGGCATTTTAATGCCATCCACTCAAACTCTCCATAACTCCCCTGCAAAATCTGGATTCCACAACAAACCAGGTTTTTCTCCATTTTGTAGTTTTTTAAAATGACTAGATTCATTTTCAAGTTTGAGAGTGGGATTTTAAGATGCAAAAATAGCAGTTTCAGGCACACTCTGAATATCTGCTGCAAAATCCTTAACTAATATGGAGATAAATGCATATTTGAACTATTCAGTCTTCTTGAGGGCCATCAAAATTCCTCCTGGCATTTTATTTTATTTTATTTAGCATTCCAATCTAAATTTGATTTTCCGAAAAGTGATTGCTCTCCAATGAGCTAGGATTCCTGCCAGCATCGTGGCCAACATTCTTCCTTCTGATATCTAGGTCAGATAGTTTAGGATAAATCCAGTCAGGTCTCTCCTAGATTGAAATTATATTTCATGGGAAAAGGAATCTCACCTGGCTCTTCCTCATAGTCCTCCACTCCTTGCACCATCTCCCCTGCGTCCAGATCGACACGTTGCTCTTTACTGTTGCGCAAAGTCCAGCAAAGACGATAAAGCTGTTCAGGAAACAAAAATCACAACAATGAAGCAGCTGAAATGACCTTGAATGAGGTCAAGACGAGGCCCCAGACTTGGATCAAAAGAGACGACCAGAAGTGCCCTGGTAACTCCACTACTCCTACTCAGTCTGTACCCAATACCTCTAGCAGAAAAATACAAGGCAGTTATATAGCTGCTCATGCAGTGTTTGTCAGAGTATATTCATGAACTGGCAGAGACATGGTTAACAAAGTCAGCAAGCGAGTAAGCATGGCAACAGACCAGCCAATGGGAGCTGACAGGCTGGGTGTGGTTTGGCTCTGTGTGCTTTGCTAAGAAGTGAAACTAAAACTAACTTGCTTGCTTGCTGAAACTGGTATCTGCTCTGAGAGGCTGCTTGTGTTTGTGTTTGCTTGTAACCGTTCCACATTGGAAGAAACTAATGGTGTTGTACATTTACTTATTTTATATAAAAGGAAGTTAACGAATCCTGCTGAGTCAGTCATCTGTGTGTTTCCTGGACTTGAATTTATGCTGCAAACTGTAACAGGGTGGAACTTCCCAACCAGACAGAACTGGGGAGATGCACCCTCAGGAAGCACCCCCTCTAACATGGCTTCAAAGGGGTTTCCTCCCACCCAGCTGGCTTTCACTTCTGCTGAACGTGAGGTGTGGCTGCCTCAGAACTGAGAGCCCCCCGAGGTGGATGTGAAGGGGAAATGGCCCGTCCTTTTATGCTGCATGGTGGGCATTCACGAGAGGCCTGGTTGGACGGAGGCTTGGCCAGCCCCTGTATGTGGTTACCCACACAGATATTTCTTGACCAAAATCTCAGCGAGGGCAGGGAAGAGAAAAGTGAGGTGGGCGGGGGGGGGGGGGGGGGGGGGGGGGGGGGGAGGTCAGGAAGAGGAGGGCATTGCTTACGTGGACATCATCGATTGGCTTGGTCAGGAGTGAGACGATCAGAATGATGGTGACAGAGACAGCGAAAAGGATGATAGCAAAATAGAGGTAGTGCACTTTACAGATGATCGCTGGACATTCACTGGGCAGAGCGCAGCTGCCGGTTCCATAGGCAAATTCTGCAAACATTCGACACAGCCCAATTACCAGTCCCACTATCAGGCCCCAGAAGGCACCCTGCAAAAGACAATACAATGCAATTAGGGGAACTTTTTCCTCCGCACGTCCTCTTGTCCTGTTCCTCACAACTGCAGCGTGATTCTTTGGGCTCACAATTGTACATATTGTGATAGATAGCTATAGAAGGGTTGAACTTGAAATGGTCCTTGGAGGTCAACTAAGTCCAACCCCCCCTGTTCGAGAAGGAGAGAAAAAACACCCTCCGGTGCTCCGTCCTGCCAGGGTGTCTGGCTTGGCACCAGGGCTAGGAGCCTCCCGGGGACCGATTGCTCAGGCGCGCTCGGTTAAGAAATGGATCATCCGGCCAGTTGATTGCATCTCTCCAGCCTAATAAATCTGGCGGCAGCCGAAATAACTACACTGACCCAACACAGGCGTTACTCAGATAAGAAGCCTCGTGACAGGTAAGCAAAGTTCTTAAATCAAACTTAAGATGAACGCCTCCATCAGCCAACGGAAAGGTGGCAGCCTGTGAGATGGACTAGTCACCTCTTTCCCTGGCTGCTGCTGCCACTTGTTCCTCCTCTTGTGCCACGGAAACCACACCCCTTCCGTGTCCTGGGCACAAACACCCCTCCTTTTGTGAAGGGAGTGGTACGCAGAGCTTCTGTGGGCTAGAAGACCCTCCAGCCCTGAAGCCAACAGCTTCCTTTTGGCTCCCTCCAGCGGGAGAGGCAGAGAAAGAAAGGGGCCCCACCCAGCAGGGGTTGGCAAGGGGTTGACCCCCCCACCCCCCACCCCAGCCAAGGGCCAGCTGCTCACCTGCTCATTGACTCTCTTGCAGAAGATGGCCAGGAAGAAGACAGCGGCAATGGGTGGGCCCAGGTAGCTGGTGATGGATTGGATGTAGTCAAAGAGCTGCCCGCTCTGCGCAGACTGGATCACGGGCACCCAGGCAATGCTGATGCCAATCAGGCCCAGGATGAACAGCCTGGCAGGAGGAGAAGGCCGAGAGAGGCATTGGGGGATGCCAACTCAGTCAATGAATCCAAGAAACTACCTTGGCAGACGGATCCGAGCCCTACTTATCCACATTTGTTTCAGGGGCGGCTGCTATATTTACATTTATTCAAAGATGTGAAAAAGATGTGACTGCAAAAGATGTGACTGCAAAGATGTGCTTTGCTGAATTTTTCTGTTTTTGTTTCTTTTTTCAGCTTTTTCCTTCTATGAATATTGTGTGTTTCCTTTTCTTTGTTTTTTTTTTTTTTGTCTTTAGTTAATTGCAAAAAGAAAACAGCAGAAAGAGTGTGACTGTGAAAGTGCAAATAAACTCCTGCCCATTTTGTATCTGCATTGCACAGAGAAAATAGGGCGGGGGGGGGGGGCAATTTGACTTTTTTGATCTCCCCTCCAGACCCCCCTCCCCTTGTTTAAAGGGGAAAATAAGCCTAAATCTCAATAAACAGCCAGAACAACTGAGCCACTGGGCAGGTTGTCCCTCCTGTCTATCAGCTCCTTTGTAAAGAGGAAACAGGAAAGTCGCCAATCCTTCTTGCTGATTCTGTAAGACGCGCCTTAAATTAAGCCAGGTGGCCTCCAGGGGGCTCTCTGGTCCAAATCTCTTGTAGGTTTTAGAGAAGAGGCTGTGCGGAACGGCGGGCGGGCAGAGTGGCCCTCCATCTGCAATTCCCAGGTGAAGAGCAGCATGCAGAGGAAAGATAAAAGCCATTCCTGGCTAGGCAACATGGCACCGGGGGCTCCAAAGTCGGGCTATTTCCCCCTCGTCCCACCCCCGACGACTTACTTTGGTCAATGTGTTATTTCCAGAGCCTGGAGACCAGTGGGGGGGGTCCAAACATTTTTACTACCGGTTCTGTGGGCGTGGCTTGGTGGGCGTGGCAGGGGAAGGATATACTGCAAAATTCCGCTTCCCTCCCCACCCCACTAACCTGCTTTCCAGCTCCGTTCTCCTGGGCAGGGCAACCAAAGGAGACCCAGCTGATCAGCTGGGACTCAATGCGAGGCAGAGAAGAGATGGGGTTGGCGGAGCCAGTCGGAGCCAGGTGGCATTGGCCGGTTCTCCCAACTACTCAATATTTCCGCTACCGGTTCTCCACAACTGGTCAGAACCAACTGAATCCTCCCTCTGCTGGAGACCCACGAAAGCAAAGGGGAAGCATTTGGGCAGGTGACCCCATAGGTTTCCCAAATGCCAAAAGGGTTCAGCCGCCCTGGTCTTGGGCTCCAGCCGACCTTTCTTGCAATTTCCCCTCTGCTGAGTCTTCACTGCTGCCTCTCCTGCCGCCAAGCCCTTACCTGCCGACGATCATGAGCTCCCTCTCCTTGGCGGTGGAGCGTATTTTGGTGTAGATGTCCATGGTGAAGAGGGTGCTGGCACTATTAAAGATGGAAGTGAGGGAGCTCATCAGTGAAGCCAGCATCACAGAGAGCATCAGGCCTCGCAGCCCTGAAAAAATAAGGCGAGGGGTGTGTGAAACAGGCAAAGGTTTGGTGTGAGTGACTCCCGTTGAGGGTTACAGGCTGGCAGCCCAGCCACATGGGTGAGAGAACTCAACCGTCTGGCCTGGCAACTGAACGCACTGCTGGGAAAAGGCTGTGGGACCAAGGAGCCCCCTCATCATGCCCTGAAGCCGGGGTGTCAAACTCGATTTCATTGAGGGCCGCATCATGGTTGTGTTGGACCTCGGGGGACCAGGTGGGGCTCCCAATCTCCATTTCCTGCTGGGATGGCCTCATGCAACCCTCTGCCAGCCAAAACGGAGTTCGGGAGGACAGCCCTCCCGAGCTTAATAAAAAAAACCACTACACATCACAATCGCTTTAGGATCAACCTGGCATCCACACACGGGTCCTGTTGTGGTTCGCCAGCAGCAGGTGCGGACGGCAGAGGTATCGGACAGCAAGGACGAAAGGGAACCAGTCAGGGAGTCCGGCGAGGACTTGGACAAGGGGCCTGAGTGTGATGCCGGACCATCTGGGGGCGGGGTGCTGCCTTCGGAGTCCGACATCAATGAAGCAGAGGACCCCGGGGAGCCTGTGCCCAGTGCGCATGTGCTCGGGGCTGCTCGAAGGAGAGAGCAGCTGAAGCAGCAAGGACGACTCGGGAGAAAGGCTATCCCTCCCATAAGGGATAAAAACCAGCCCTCGGGGATGTGTTCTTTGCAGGAAGCAAAGAAGTTCTTTAGACTCTGAGCCCTTGTTGAAGCCCTGCGAATTCCGGTTTATTTTTGAAACGTCTGTCAGATGATATTTATCAGTAATTAGACTTCTGTTCTTGGCAGCCTTTCACAACCTTCAAAGGGCTTGCTTTTATCTCAGACATTTAGGTTTAAATGACTCTTGGCTGGGAATGCACAGAATTACCAGCGCCATATTAAAAAAGTTTGCTTTGATACACAGTTTGTGTTTGTTTAGTTTGAACAAGGCTTGAGTCAGAACAAATCCCTTTTTTATAGCCGACTGTGGGCAGAAGGCAGCCAGAAGGCCCCTCATAATGCACAGCCTTTAGGACACACCATCCTGGGCAACGGACCTTAACCAGCCTTGCAGTCCAAGGCACAAACAAGCCAACCCCCTGGCCTCATCTCACCATCCGGCATGAGTTCCACCACCATCGTTGGATAGGCAATGTTTGTACAGCCAACCTCTGTCCCACAAGTCTTCTTGCACACCGAGGGAACGACACACGCCACTCTATCTGTGAACCCAAAGAAAGGAAAGTGTGGGCCCCACGAGGGAGCTGAGCAAGTCGGCCTCCCTCTGCCCTCTGGGTGGACCAGCTCTCACCTCGGTAGAGAATGCGGCTGATCATGCCTGGCATCACCATGAGGAACATGGGCAGCAACTTCAAGTAGCCGCACAAGATGCAGCCAGCCTTGACATGGGACATGTTTTTCCCCGAGAGGCATCGCTGGACAATGACCTGCCCAAGAGAGGAGCCAATGAACAAGCACCGAGACAGGACACAGGGCCTGGACTCTTAGGGTTGGAAGGGACCTTGGAGGTCGTCTAGTCCACCCCCCTGCCCAGACCCGGCATCATTCCATACGAATGGCTGTCCAGGACAAGGCCTCTGGCTCTGGGCCAGGATTTTTCCACCAGGATTGGATGTGGAGATACCAACATCACTTGGATGCGGTGGGCCTTTCTTTACTCTTTTTTTTAATCAATTTTTTTTTATTTTGACAACAAAAATTGATAAACACAAACACAAAACATCAAATAAAACCATCTTTCCATTGTACAGTATGTTGGTTGGTATATATCTTTGTGCACGATATTAATAGTCTTTTCCTTCTAAATTTAGATTAGAATTCATATTATATAGAACAACTATGCATATTATTATATTATTATATTATATTATATTATATTATATTATATTATATTATATTATA